GTCTCCTCCTCCTCCTCCTCCTCCTCCTCCTCCCAGTGACTCCTATTGTAGGGCTCTGGGCAATGTACAGCAAAATAAAAACGTTAGAACTATAAAATAAATACAAACAGTATTGGTATTAATACATTAATTAAAAACCAAGTGACAAAATTACAGGTCCCCCCCCCATTTCTGGCCCGTGATCACCTCACAGATGTGTGTGGGGGGGAGGAGGTAAAAACAGCCTGAGGAGAGGGGGAGTGGGGAGGGGGTGTATCCGCCAGGATGTAAGCCATTGCCGCCCTCAAGCAAAGCAAAAGACGACTCTCCCTGTTGTTAAAATCGACAGCCCCCTCTCCCTTTGGTACATCGTTTTACCTTCCATCTGCCCCCTCAGTACCTACCTACCTGAGCCAATTAACACATCAAACTGAGGAGGGACAAAACAACATGAAGTCGCCGGACAAAGCGTGGTATAAAAAAAACGAAACACATTGCCCCGACCCGGATAGGCCAGGCGAGCCCAATCCCATCAGATGTCAGAAGCTAAGCAGGGCCGACCCTGGAAACCTCCAAGGAATACCAGGGCTGGGACGCAGAGGCAGGCAATCGAGCCACCTCTCTGAAAAACGTCCCAGCCCCGGTAGGGATCTCCAGAAGTGGCCACGGTTTCCAGGCACATGAGCACACATACACACCAAAAAAAGGCTCTACAAAAATGCACCAGATAATTGCACGTGACGAGCAAGGGGCCAACGAGACTTGCAGGTGATGCCCCCCCAATGGTCCCCAGTCTCTTCCCGGCCTTTCCTCCACTTTCTTTCACCTCCTCCTTCTGCTTTGGCTGCTTTCCCCCAAGTCTGCAGTCATGCCCAGGTTGCTTGAGCAAATACTACATTGCCGTGGTTGCTAGGAACTCCAGAATGCCAATTACTTGTAAGCTCTCAGCTGGCATTCTCAGTTTAGAGGGGAGTTAACCCATTGTTTTTTTCCCCTTTTAAAAAGTTTTGGGTATTTCTGCAAACCTGCAGGTTTCCCCGGGTGTATAGAAAAATCCCCCCTGTTTGTATATGGCCCCAATGTGCAGATTTTTTGATCCACATCCTACAGCCATTTTTCAGAGTTATATATCATGACGGCACAATTCTTGACTGTGCCATCCTGGAACTGGGATGGATAGGTCATATTTTCCATTGTCTCCTGCTCTAGCATCTCGGGGAGAGAGCCACATCAAATCTTTTATTCTGTTAGGCTAGCTTTCGTGACGCAGAGGTTTTGAAACTACGTGGCGAGCGTTCAGAAACAGACTGCTGAATTGCAACTGATAATGAAGCTCAAGACAATGCATCCACCTGGACTGAATCAAGACCTAGGTTTCCTGTCTCCACGCCTATTACCTCTCTGCATACCTCACCTAAATCCAGTCACACCTGTTATTGTCGTTCACCTGCTATTGTCATTCGCCTGCTAGTGTCATTCGGCATCTGAAACCACTCCACTTTCCGATAAATAGGACAGATGGGCTCCCATTCCAGCTGTATCTGAAGAAAGGGAGCGGTGACTCGCGAAATTTCATACCCTGCTACATATTTTGTTAGTCTTTGATGTGCTAGTGGACTCTTGCTCTTTTCGACTGATTCAGAAACAGGGTCATAAAACGGCTCTGGGTGTATGTGTGTGTCTCTCTCTCTCTTTCTCAGTCCAAATATTCCTTCTAGAACCTCCCCTATCAACGCACCCAATCCCTTTCTTACCTGGCAGGAATCTTTGCCTCCCTCGATGTAGCCGGCACAGAACATATTAGAGGTGATGCGGCCAGGGTAGGCAGCTTGGCAAGCAGACGTAGACAGAATGGGCACATCCAAGCACTGTAGATTGTCTGGGTAGATAACTGGAACACAGAAAGATCCACTGGCACAAAGGCTAACCTGATTCTAACCAATCACAGGGTCCTGCTGATCTACCAATCAGTGATTGAGCAATTGGAACTGCAACCAACCTATTCATTCGAGTGTATCTCCACCTCAGCAGAGACAGAGACGAGGATCTGCAGATAATTAAGCAACGGGAATTATGTAATGAGTTAGCCGTGTTGGGATGAGGGGGGCTACATCACTCTAAGGGTGAATAGGAGTTGTCTTCTTGAGGGCTTCTCTTTGTCTTAACTTGGGAGCTGCCCTCTGACTCCTCCTCTCTCTCGGTCTTTGTCCTCTCACTCCCTGCCCATGGCCTTCCCTGGAGACACATGTCTCTACAGGTCTCTCCTATGGAGACGATGCCCTCATACTCCCACACACACAATGCCGGACAAGCCAGCTCTTTGGATTAGGGTTCTTTCTCTGCTTTCAGCTGGGACCTGAATGTGAACTGGATCCTGAATGTGAACTGGATCTATTTGAGGGGGGAGGGAAAGTAAGTTTGCCTTTCTTTGCAATATATTTCTTGGGAGATTTATTTGCTGCCCTCAGTATCACGCTTCTATGACTCAGCAAAACTCTGCTTTGGCCCCGGTCACACGGGCCAGATATCGCAGGGGGGAGGCGTGGCTGTTTGCCCCAGAGCGAACTACCGCACGGCAGCCAGATCAAACGTCCCGCCTGACGTCCCGTGGTTGGGGGGGGAGGTGCCGATCATACCTCACTCCTGCGGCGCGGCAAAGAACCTACACCGTGGGGGGTTGTGTTGTTTTTTTTTAACCCAAGTGTTCGCATGCGCCGTTGGGTGCTTGTGTGCACCCGTGGAGACTTGACAAAAAAACCCCTTTTCGCGACGGGACATGGGTGGGCGCCGGATGCCACGAGCTAAAACCGGAAATGTGATCTGACGCCCGCCCTTGCCCCGCGGTTTCCGGAAACTAGTACCTCAGCGGTACTAGTTTTTTACAGCGCATCTTCGGAGTGAAGACTGGGTGAGCCACGGGAGCTCTACGCTTCCCAGATGTGGCGGTGAGATCGTGCCCAGAAAATCCACCTATCTTTCGTCTCTCTAGCATGCCTAATGCTCCGTGTGACCGGGGCATTATATATTAACCAAATATCCCAATAAGCAGAAAGATTGCCAACTGTTCCCCGCCCCCCAAGCTAAGGCCCAGGAGTGAGGGAAAGGATTGGCAATCTTACTGGTAGCTTGTTAAATCATTTCCTTTAAGCAATTGACGCAGACTCTCCTTTCTCTGTCTTGCTATCTCTGCGGCCGAATGGGTTTGGTTTATTATGGGATATCAGGGGTCTCTTTCCTCTCTCGTACATTCCCCATCTGCACCCGAGCCTAAAGAGGGGCCTCGTTTCCATCACGGCTCACAACAGTATGGGGCTGAGCGACACGACTTGCGTGACTCACCTCCCATGGTCAGAGTGTTCCCCCAGCCTGAGACGAGACAGTTGTCCCCAGCCGAGGGGCAGCTTTGAGAAATGTCAATGGGTTGCACAAAAGGACTGAAACGGGCTGGCTGGGCGAGTTTGATGAGCATGAAATCGTTGTCGATGGTGCGTGCGTTGTACTGAGGGTAGCGGATGGCTTTCTCCACCTGGATGTGCTGCTCTGTACCTTCCTCGGCGGAGGTGTCGTGCTCGCCAAGGTGCGCGACGAGTGTGCTGGGGCTGTAAAAAACCAGAAAAAAGGGCGATCGATGAACAGACAAAAAGTTCTGCCACATCAGACCGATGGTTCAACTAACCCTGCAGTTTGGCCAGCCAGGTGTCTCTGGAAGTCTCATCAGCAGGCGCACAAAAGCCCCCGTGGTTATGCACCAGCAACTGGTATTCAGAGGCATACTGCCTTTGAACATGGAGGTTCCATTCAGCCAGCATCTGGTTTAGTACTAATAAACATGAGAAATGGAGATCGCTGAGTCCTTTTTGGTGCAGTGAGCCAGTTTGGTGTGAGAGCCAGTTTGGTGTAGTGGGTAAGTGCACGGACTCTAATCTGGGAGAACTGGGTTTGATTCCTCACTCCTCCACTTGTAGCTGCTGGCGTGACCTTGGGCTGAAAAGAGCTGTCCGTGAAAGAGCAGTTCTGGAAAGAGCTCTCTCAGCCCCACCTACCTCACAGGGTGTCTGTTGTGGGGAGGGGAAGGGAAAGGAGATTATAAGCTGCTCTGAGACTCCGAGTGAAGGGCGGGGTATAAATCCAGTCTCCTCTCCTCCTCTCTCTCCTCCTTTGATCCTAATCAGAAGGTGGGAGAGGTGTAGTAAAGAATGTTTGTCGGTCTCTAAAGTGCTAGTGGACTCAAAGCTAACTGTTTTACAACAGACCCACACTGCAACCCAATGGCTACTAGTAGCCATTGAAGGACATCTCCCTCTGCTATGCTATCGTTACTCCTTTTAATGCCATCTAAGGAAGGTTAAGAGGCTGAACTGCAGGCTGTGGAAGGTCAGTAGTTCAGCAGTTCGAGACCCGAGTGTGCCGCATGACGGAGTGAGCTCCCGTCTCTAGTTCCAGCTCCTGCCAACCTAGCAGTTCGAAAGCAACAAATTGCAAGTAGATAAATAGGTACCACTCCGGTGGGAAGGTAACAGTGTTCTGTGCGCCTTGGTGTTTAGTCATGCCGACCACATGACCACGGATTCTCTGGGATTTTTGGTTGTTTCCCCACTTTGACCAAAGTATAGCTCAGCTAAAACGGCCAGCTGAGGAGGCCAAAAATGTCTCGACTCTTTTACAGAGTTGTAATACGTGGAAATAACGGGCAGTGGCAGCTTTTCACAGCACGAAGTTAAATCGCGCCGCCCAATAACTGCTGCAAATCAAACAGATATTAAAGGGATAGTTCAAAAGTTGGCACTGCTTTTCTCCCCTCTGCATGGCAAATGCTTTCTGCCAAATCCCCACATCATAAGTAAAGATGGGGGGGGGGCGTATCTTCCTTCTGCATCTGGTTACCCTGACAAGACACTGCTTCTCTGAGAAATAGCCTTGCCAGCCACCAGGTCCAGGCAAAGGATCCCCTGGTTTCAGGGGCTTCTCCCTGCCGTGGATCAACTGGCCAGTGGGGGGAACCCCATCCCTAAATAGGGAAATTGCCTCATGACGTCCCTGATGTGATGACATCACCCGGAAGTGATGTCATCGTGTCGGGGATGTCATGTGAGGGACACTCTGGTATTTCGGCAAACTCTATGGTTTGAGGGTGGAAAAAACCATAGAGTTTCACCCAAATATCAGAGCATCCCCCATGCAACATCCCTACCCATCCCCGGAACGCCCCCAAATCCCCACGCCAGAGCAACGAGGGGACCTGGCAGCTCTACTGAGAAGCCTGAAGTAGAAAGTCAGAATTCTCTCAGAATGGCTGGCCGCCCATCATTTAAGTCAGTGTTTCTACTGTGTAGAAATGAGCCGCTGAGATGATCCACTGGTCATTGATTAGGGAGCCTCCACACCACCGATAACCGGCCCCGTAGGTTAGAAAGACTTGCCAAGGCTGGGAGTGGGCTGGGCACTCGTAACCTCCGATGATCTTATCATCGTCGCCGCCGCCATAGGCATTCAGAGGCGTGGCCGCTGCATGAAGACAAAACAGGAAGAAGACCACGACGGTGGGCAGGAGTCAAAAGGAACGAGGTGCAAGGTTGAGAAGACAAAACAGGCCAGGAGATTAAGAACATAAGAAGAGCCCTGCTGGATCAGACCAATAGTCCATCTAGTCCAACATCTTGCCTCACACGGTGGCCAACCAGTTCCTCTGGAGGGCCAACAACAGGGCAGAGAGCCCAATGCCTTCATAAGAACCTAAGAAGAGCCCTGCTGGATCAGACCAGTGGTCCATCTAGTACAGCATCCTGTCTCACACACAGCGGTCAACCAGTTCCTCTGGAGGGCTAACAACAGGGCAGAGAGGCTGAGGCCTTCATAAGAACAGAAGAGCCCTGTTGGATCAGACCAGTGGTCCATCTAGTCAAGCATCCTGTCTCACACAGGGGCCAACCAGTTCCTCTGGAGGGCCAACAACAGGGCATAGAGACTGAGGCCTTCCCTTTATAAGAACATCAGAAGAGCCCTGCTGGATCAGACCA